CGCCTTTCCCCAGCCAAGGAAACTACGTTTAGTTTTGCCTAAAGCAACAGTCTGAACGTGTTTCAGTTAGAGTTGATAATCAATGTGCGCTTTCGCGTCAGGCTGAGGACTCCTGCTCCAAAATACCTCGTCTCCCCCCAGAAGCAGACTAGCTGCCCAGGCTTCAAGGCAGAGCACCAACCAAGTTACCTTCTCCCTCCACTAATCATCTTAGGAAAATATTTCCTCTGTGCAAGAGCAGAAAGTGTCTGCTTGCTGCAGCCTGGTGAAGCGGTGCCATTTCATGTGGGCTACTCAAGCCCGTTCAAGGTTTCATGGCTCTCTATCAGTAAAACCTGACGATTAAAAGGTAATTTGTTCATTTCGGGGTTTTTTCTTTTTCATTTTTTTTTGTTTGTTTTGGATTTTTTGGTGGGCAGCAGTTTGCTTTTGTTTAACAAAGTGGAATAGGAAGATTTTCTTCCTGTTAAAACCCAGACAATCCCAACGAGAATGCATGCTGCTGCTTTAGAAGTCCGTCAAGGAAAGACACCCAATTCAGAAATTCAAATCTGGTTTTATCAAAACAAAATCATTAAACCCAGCCTAACGATGTTAGATGGAAAAGAGTCCAAGAGATTAAACTTCAAGCTAGTCAACGCAATACATAAAGGATAAATTTCATCTGTAGCAGAGGCGACATCTGACAACCAATTACTCAGCTGAAAAAAGGTTTTCATACTATTTCACAAAAAATTGTAAAGTAATGCTGCATTCTTTGCTATACACCAAATAAGCTGATACCAAATAACCAGCAATTAAAAGAAAACTCTTACAATTACGTGTAGTAGCTTATGTAATTAGAAGTTTGGGTTTTTGGTAAATTATAGAATTGTTTTCAACTGGGATTGAAAGAAGTCACTCGTTACACTCACTAAGGAAAGAACTGCCTTAGCTATTTTCTTCATGGCTTTCAGCTTTAATGCAGGCATCTCTTCACCCTTACTCGAAACATTATAAAGAAAAAGCCTCTGCAGCTTTCCCACTGTGATGATCAGGTGGATACCGGGGCAATATTCCCAAAGCTGTGGGCAGTTTAGATGTGCTTCTTCTCTTTCCAAAATGCTCTGTGCTTGATCTCTTTGCCCAAAAGCATAACGCTGCTTCAGGGAAATTCACAGATCAAAATCCAGGTTAAAATCAAGTCGGGATACGAGTTTTCCATGCAAAGGCATGAGAAAGCATCTAGGGCCCAGGATGGGAACTTGCATGCAAATAGGAGGTGCTCACTCTTGCCCAGAGATACCAACTAAACCAGACACGAGCACAGCGCATACAAACACTTCCCCTTCTGAAAAAGGTCAAAAACGCATAAGTCAAGGTGATGAACTGAGCTACAGAAAACATCCAGAGTCAATCTAGGGCCAGTCAAGTCTTCTGAGCGGCACCTCTAGCTACATTTCAATACAAAACCTTTTCTATTCATAGCTTATCATTCACTTTACTGAAACGCAGTTGAATTAAAGCTGTTCAATGTTGCAAAGAAGCTTAAAGTAAAATTTCTCTCCTGTATCTTCCCACTTCAGCTTCAGAGCAGTACGGTTGGCGTCTTGGCATTTTACTCTCTGATGACAGACAGATTGGGTGGGAGAGAAGAAAAACAAAAAAATCCTATTTCACTGATGAAGCCTAGAGAGGCCCTTCAGCTCTTCACGTTACGCCGCTTCCCACCAGCAACTCACCCTGCGTTGTGCACAGTCTCCTCCTAAGACTTGAGCAGCAGGTCTCCTTTTCAACAGGAACGTAAGGTTTCTAGGCAGACATATGTTGCTTATTAGCTCGGATCACATAAGGTGCTGGATGAGTAGCAACGTCTGCCTGACGAGGGGACATGGCATTCCCACTGTCCATGAAGTTTTGCAAAGGCAGCTGCCTCCCAGCCACTGAACGCACGGGAGCTGTTTTTGCAGCTGCGTACCATCTTTTGGGAAGGAGAATGAAAAGCAATTGCAGTGCCATCTTGCGTGAAATGGAAATTGGAGCCACGAAGGCGGTCTTTGAGTAAACCCACTCGTCGGAACATTCACCACGTTTGGATCACTTCAGGCTTGATGAGCTTTAAGCCAAAGAGTTTGGGGGGTCGGGGAGGACAGTGCAGTCCAAATCAGGCTTGCAAGCAAAGCAACACAAATGGAACCATTAACAGAAGACACACAATTTCTGAGAGATACTTAACAATTTTATTTTATAAATACAGATGAGCTTTCCCACAATTACCAATGTAACTTTAATGTGTCATTTACTATGGGGTTTTTTTTTTTGGTCTATTTTAAATATCTGGTCAAGCAAGAATAAGCCAATGCTGTTGTGCTTGCTATAAAAATATAATGGGATGTGATCTTCCAAAACTAATATTCTCAAAAATTTTAGGAATTCCTAGTGACGGGAAAAGATTGCAATGAAATGTTTTCTCCACTTGAAGACATTTGCAGACATTTAACAGTGTCACAGCTGTGCAGGAACCAAAAGGCTCCTGACAGTTTAAAGCATACTGTGATATATCACCTCACCGAAAAACTTACTATTTGTTTCCCTCCCACTAAGCTATTTTCAAAGTAGTTTTAAAGGTGGGGGGGAGGGGGGGGGGAAATCACAAAAAAGCCACGAGAGATGGCTGCAATCTGTACAATTCCCCCCACCTTTCACAGGAAAAATCAGTTTGCCAATGTTTTACTTAGCCCTACTACACTGTCCCCCTTCATACTTTCTTCTATACAGAAAGTTTAAAGAACAGAAAAGAAACCTGGGGACATTTTAAGGCCTACTAAAGATACATCTGTGGAAAGCCCATCAAGGAAGCTTTGTGAGACAAATGCAGAAATCAACAGTTGTGTTTGACACTATTACAGGGCTCAAAAGATAATAGCAACACAGCATTAGGGAAGAAAACTAGACTTCATTTGGTTGTGTGCAACCTGAGAAAATGTGCAACTAATGAAAACATTTTTAAGTCCTGCTGATGTTCCGTGAACCTAATCTCATGGGTTGCTTAATTGCACTGAGATGCTCTGTGTTTGCCTAAGGAACATAGCAACTCCACAGCTACTCTTTGGGTTGGTTTGAAAAGTCACCACCACGCACAAGCTAATGCCTTTCCTCTATAAAGGACAATTCGTATGCCTGAAAACAGAAGTTCTGTGATGTTTTGAGTGTGCCAGATTTCACCCTTCAATGTGCACAACTGACTCAATGTTATTGGACCGTGTCTGGAACTATACTGAATCCTCATTATGCTCCACTATCAGAAGAGTCACAGGACAGAGTATCTTCTCTCCATGCCCGTTTCATCAGTAAGTGCTGTGCTCGCTTCAGGTATTTGTTTTCGGCTCTCAACATGCCAGTGAGAGAACTGGCGAAAATTTCCCACCTATCTTTTCTCAAGAACGGCGGCAGCGCTTTGAGCTGCTGCATCATCCTCTTTAGGGAAGTTTTTATTGAGGTGGGAACAGAAAAGTTTATTCTGGGGAAGAAGAGATTTCAATTCCGTAAGCTACTCAAGAACGTGTCCAACTTCACATCCAAGTTTGGAACTGGAAGCATGTTCAGTGTCTTATAGAGCTGGAGGCTCTATTTCTGACTGCTTCTGTCTCGCACATCTTATCATGACAGACCAAAAAAAGGAATCACTGCAGAAAGGCTCAATCCAATAACTCAATTGTAGACACAACCGTTAAAAGCTAAGAGAAGAAACGTGAATATAACTTCAGTACAATCATTAAGGTGTTACCTGGAAAACGCATATTCTAAAACAGTGCTATTATGTATATTTGTTTTCACACACGTCTTGTTTTGACAACGGATAGTTGAGATTATACATATCCACATTTTAACAAGTTAATTTAGGCTAAGCCTTATGGTGAAGCTAGGAAACAGACTAGGTCACTGGTTCAAGAAAAAGCATAGACTTGGGGGGGAAGGGGGGTAGGGGGGAAGTCAGGCATGATGAAGTGTTTTTTATTCTGCTATATATTTTTATGTTTGAGAGCTCACAACTGAGCCCAAATTCTTGGGTATACAATATAGAAAGCAAGAGCAATGAAATCCAAACTCAAACAAATACCAGGAATCGCAAAGCAGGCTGCAAATTGCTTTCCCATTAGTGCAGCTGAACACATGTGCCAGCAGTAACCTACCTAAAAACCAAACTGCATCTCTAGCAAACTGCTGAAAGTTTCTTCCTTTAAAGTACAGATGGTACCATTAAAAGAATATTAATTTAGATGAATTATACTAAGTGCCTCCTTTCTACAGAGGATGGAGTGATTCCACAAGTTCACCTAATTCCAAAACGCCAACTGCATTTTAAGTCTGGATTTTTACGAACGTGGCTGAAGTGCCTCGCAGCACATTGCCTAAGACACCTCGGAACGTGACGGGTGAACCCCACGTACGCAGTGCATCTGTTAGGCCTCCGCAGATTAGGTTTGAAGTACTGTACCTAACTGTGGAATGGTCAAGCTGAGATTTTTTTTCTCTTTCTTTTATATATATATATATAAAAAAAAAAAACGAAACACTAGAGATGATTTAATCCTCAAGGCCTCTACTTGAAAAGCGTCCACTGGTAGGAACTGTGAGTACAGAGGAAAGGAGGAAAAAGGAAATTGTCTAATTAATCAGGTGCAAGGGAACTGCAGATATCACAGGTGCTCGTTCTCTGGCAAGTTTACACCACCAACTGAAGACCCATCAGTGCAAACTAGAACTTCAAAGACTGCGGAGCACAGCTAAGAGAAAGCTGCGCAAGTACAGCAAATCCATGGTATTTCCGTAACGCTGACTACATTGCTCAAACACACACAGGACTACATGGGAGAAAGTAAAGAGGTGTCTGCTGGTCCTATCATAAATGTATTTTTAAATTAACTTTTTTTTCTTCTGAAAAGATCAAAATAAACTTTAACCCTAAATATTAATTAAGAAAACAAATATTCATAGAAGGGCCTGATCAGCACTAGAAGTTTTTTCCAGGAAAGCATTTAACAATGGATTCTAATACCAAAAAGAAAACCCAACAGATCATAAATACCAGACATAAGAGGACTGGAAACAGAATCAGAATTTACCTGGGCTGTGAATAGACCATGATCCTGTGTTATCGCACTCAGTTACAAGTCCATTTGTTTAACACCATAGGAATAGCTTTAGCTTTTTTTTTTTTTCCTCTCCATAATTAATATAAAGAATAAGTGCAATTTTATTTCTATTCCAGATCATTGCTTTCACCTCAATGTCTACTACCAAAATCCCTGTCCAAGCTCATTTGTCCGAACTTTTTCGCGGTCTGCGGAAACTGGACACGTTTTCATTCAGTGCATAGATCCTTCGAGAGAACTCCTCAAACTCCCCTAGGACTTGTTCATCACATTCTACTGCCACGGCGTGCTCCACCGGGATTGAGTTAAAGTCTTCGAGCTGCTCTCCCATGCTGAATCCTGTGGCTTCCATCCCAATTATTTCCTCGGCTTGCTCCACAGTGCAGCAAAGAACAGGGCCAAGCGAGGGCCGGTACTCGCAGGGCTGCTCATTGCTTGCCGTGCCAGAACACTCGCCAGGCAGAAATGCCCCATTTATTGCACTAGTATGTCCCAGAAAAGACTCCTGACGGTCTTGGGTATCGTTTAGACTCCCGTTTTCTCCGTTTAAACTGCTGCATAAATCCCCTCCTTTCTTGTTATTTTCTTTTGAGGAGTCCATAGAGGTATCTAAGGAAGAAGATATTGATCCAGGTTTTTTATCTAACTCTCCTACATGGGCTGCAATGGCAACAGGCTGTGTTAAAGCGGAGTTGTAGCTAGGAGGAGGAGTTTTGTACTGTAGTCTTTCATTCCCTGTGCTGGCTCGTTTTCGGAGTCCTTTATCTGGAGAAGGAAGCCCACTGGAAAAGCCAATATCCAATCTGCCGAAGCTAGAGCTCTGCCTCTTTGGAACTGGAATTGCACTGGATATATGGTGTCGATCACTATAAAAAAGAAAAGAATAAATCACAGTTGTCGAGTATGCTCACAAGCAATACAGATGTTCAACCCAACACTGAAGCAACTATTTTATCACAACTCTGAGCTCTGTTTGGCCGGTCACTTGTATCCTAAAGTGCTAAAACCTCAAATGTGTTTAATGCCATATGAACTACAGAAGACACCCCAGAGGACAACTTTACTGAAAAGCTGCAAGATCATGTAGGGGGCATGTAGAAAACTCCATGGTTTGAAGAGTCAGTCAGTCAAGAAACCACTGCATTATGTTAATTCATACTGTTAGCACTGTTTTATAGGACTAAGCTGTACTTTATGAATTATTACTGTTGACCATATATTTATGTATTTATGGCCTGTACTGGGCCATCATAAACTCTTCAAATAGTGAGTTAAAATGGCTGAATCCTCCAAGAGCGAGTTCTTCCAGCAGCGGACTTTCCCTGACAGCTGCACAAAGGAGAAAAGCCCCATTAATTCTGCTATTTGTAGAGGATTATTTTTGCCAAATCTTTTGCTTTTCCAAGCCAATGGCTCCAAAACTTTTTGGACAAATGTCAACCCCAGTTTCTTGTGGAACATGAACTAATCAAGCTTAATTTACAAGTTCAATTTTAGTACTTAATATAGTTCCACAGACCACTTACACTGTCTCAGAGTCTATAATTTGGAACATCCACTTTACATCATCTGGGCTGTGTTAGCTGAATTTTCCCTCATAGGTTTAATCCTTACCCAAATATAATCCCCATACTATACGCAAATAGTACGTTGCACATTAACTGGGGTAACCAGTCCACCTTTAAATTAAAAAATAAAAATATAAAAAAAAACAAAAAACCACACACAACTATTACCAATCTCCTGAATACATCACTCCAAGATTGAATTGCTGTCAGTATGAGTCTCCTTCACTAACTTCATTTGAAAGAACACTCCCCTTCTACTCAAGGCCTGATACATTTTAGGATCTGTCTTGCATGGAAAAATCTTTGCATACCAATTCTAAGTAGCCCCTAGTGTGGGTCCTTTTTCACCTTAATTGTTTTCTTCTTTGTTTGATGTTTTTGCTCCCCTTTGTAAATAGGGTAAGTTATACTGCAAAATAAGCATCCCCGTGGGAGGGCAGTCTGGAGTACTGAGCTTTAATTTTCTCTCCCATATTACTTCCTCCCAGACTGTCCCTTAATATATGCATAGGGCTTTCTTCTCTTCTGTAACAACTTCAAACTACCTTAAGGGAAGTTGAGGACAGCGAGGTAGAGATATGTGCACCATACACAGAGCTGGCAGCAAAAACATCACCACCTTTTTCTTAGATTTCAAAGGCAGTTTCAGACCTTTTTAATGCAACCTTTGCCTACATAAAATTTCATAGCTCTATTTGCAAAGGCTTGGAGCACTCTTAATAGAAGTGACAAGACAAAGTAGTATGGGCCACAGATGCTTTTAAGTGTTGTAGATGTGGTTTTGAAGATTAGCCCTCAGTAGCTTACCAAGAAGAGACTTTTACACATGACTTGTGAATATTTTAAACAACTTCTACATAATTAAATTACTTTTTAAAATTACCTAATATGATTAACAGAAGAACCTGAGCCAGGACACTTGCAAACTTTAATCGGGCAATATGCACAGCAGACACACATACTGGGGACGGTCTGTTTTGCCCTTCCCTTCTCCCTGGCTTAGGTCTTTCAGCCTTACTTCAGCCATGCTCTTACAGACTCCTTTTCAAACTCAAGTCATTTATTGTCATCCCTCTCCAATTCCCAAAACTGATTTCGATATTAATATCCCCTGCAAAAACAAAGATGAAATCATTCTTCTTGGTTTCTATCAAGACGT